ACATTTTCTCGTCGTGATCCCGTCTTAATGCAAAGTATTCACTGGACAACAGCTCTTTAGCATCCCTGGCTTCAGATAGTGATGCATTAAGTAACTGTATTTTGCTATTCAGCGAATCAATTTCTGCATTTGCATTTTGCTGTAAGTGAAACATCTGTTCATAATGTTTTGTCAAGAGGACCTCGTTTTCGCTCTCAAATTGAAGGAAGTGTTCTTCAATTTTCTGAACCACCTCTTTTTCACTGTCTAACCTTATTGCAAGGTAATCAGCTTTCTCAACAACTGTATAGAATGATTCTTTCAGCAAAATTGCAATTTTAGCCAGCTTTTCATAGTTTGACCTTTTAATTTCTGTAGAGGTAACACTCTCTGCAACCTCCTTCAGATTGTCCAATAACTCTTTTGGGTTCATGCTGTCCGCCTGTTTGCCATATGGATGTAAGGATGCTGTCAGCAGCTTCAACGCATATTCTAAACAGCCCTTCATCCCATAAGGATCAAAATCTTTTTCTACCACACCTGTCATGGTTATTCACTGTTCAGCACTTATCTGTGTAAAACAATTGCCAGCTTCAGATATTTTTACAGGTAAATAATTGTATTCAAATGTCAATGAGTTTCACACTATTCTAGCTTTGGGTTTACACAAAAGTACTGTTATAAGTCAACTTATTCAAATGTGGGTACCTATTTGTAGGTTTTACCCCAATTCATGAATATTCTTAAGTAAATGCTTCTCTGGCAGTGTTACTTTTTATGTGCTTATTTCTTAACAGATACTAGATTACCAAGCTCTTTTTTAGTGTATTTTACTCTAAAGCACTGAATTTTTAATAAACCTGCAATTTTCTAAAAAGTCTCACAGCACATCAGTTTAAAGACACTTTTTAAACCGTTCTGTTCCAGAAATTTGCTATTTTACAGTTACTCATCAACCCAGGTGGGTGAAAAGAGAAAAGAAAATTGATGATGTGTCAGGATTAATCAGTCATTCTTCAGAAAAACTGTTGTTACTCCTGTTCTCCTGCCAATATCTTCTATTTAAAATTAAATAGGAAGATGTAATTGTTTAGGTGGTAAATAAAATCAGAAAAGTCTCTTTTTCCCGATATATTTACTCTTATTTAATGATCTAGCAATTAAACGTGCATTATCTTTTCCAGCAAATGAGTAAACTCATCAACTCTGTGAATATCTGAACCGTATCTTTTAAAAAGTTTCTAATTTTTCATTTTGTACCTCCTGTTTGAGGAATTCAGTGAATGAAAAATGTCCTGGTAAATGCCTTTCTTGCATAAATACCTTAATTACTTTTTAAATGCAAGATAACAGTGATTATTCAGCTTTGAGGAACGTTTATTAACTCAAAAATGCCTTACAGAAAGAAAATACGTTTAATTCCACTCAAAAATAACCTAAAACATAGTGAAACTGTGATCTCAAGTTCCTCCAGGAGGGGGCAGTGTTTAGCTTTCTACCAGCAGGAGTCTATGATGACTTCCTGTGACGTTCGGTTGACATCCTGTTGTTAGCCGCTTAGCTTAAAGTTAGCTTCGGCTAAACTCGGTTAAAATCAACATTTCTGAACGGTTTTAAAGCTTAAACTTGGTGTTGTTTGAACAAGCACGACTTCTTTGCATGAACATGAGTTTTAGGGGCTTGTGGCAGCTTTATTTAGTGATTTTAAGCACAGCTAAGGCTGCGGTTGCAACCGAGCTCATTTCCGACATGGAGGAAGTGACGTGACACGTCACTCATCCGGTCGTTAGCTGTTAGCTTAAAATTAGCATCGCTAGCGTTGTTCAAAAACATCATTTAATGACGGATTTTAAACTCTTAACGTGGCAAACTTTTAACAATTAGACTTCGAAGAACTAAAGCAGCGGATCAGAATCAACTTTAAAGCGCTTTTCAGCTTTAAAAAGCAGATTTTATTCCCTATGAAAAACGAGTTTTCATTTCCGGGTCACGTGACTGAATCCACCAATGACAGAGCAGCACGGGGTGGGCTTTACGACCTGACACGTCAGAGGCTCACGACTGACACGTCTCTCAGCCAATCAAAGCATTCCACAGCTGCTGACTTCAACCAATCACGCAGCGTTTTCCCAACTAGCATGTTACTCTTAGCCTGAAATAAGTTCGTCAACGTTTCTCTCTTAAACTGTCAAAATGCACCATTTCTGTTAAAAAATGTAACGAATCAACTCTGAGCTTAGCTAAGACTTCGTCCAGTCCTTAAAACGTTTTTCCATCTATTTAAAACAACTCGTTCGATCTTTCTCAGAACCGAGCCGGAACCAGAACCGAACCTCCGTCCGTTTGAACCTTAGTTTAAACAGAATAATGTTTTCACAGCTCAAACCCAGGTTATGTTACACAACAGATGTACAATTTCAGCTTTCATAAGGACATATTGACTGAATTTCAGCTTCAAAACATCACAGCGTAAACATGCAGCGTTTCAGCTTCAAAACATCACAGCGTAAACATGCAGCGTTTCCTCCAAGCGCGCAGCTTCAGCTGTGTTTCAGCACAGCAAACAATCTGCTATTTTTTCATGCCAACATGAAATATTCAATTGTCACACGAATACACAGTCCATTTATGAACCGTCACGGGCCACCAGATGTAGTAGAAACGTACGGACGGGCCACCAGATGTAGTATGACATATCCTTAGATATATTCATACATTAAACGAGTTCTTTCATTTTTCTGGGCTGAATGATGTCGTGCATTGAATTTAACAGAAATGTAACGTGAGACGTTATTTATCTTTGACCCATCAAAATGAATGCGGTCATTTATTTACAGAATCAAAGTTTAACATCAAACATTTACATTAATTTGGCAGAATATGAAAATAACAACATAATTAATCAGCTTTACAACCAGGAAAACCATACGGCCATGATTTTCC